GTCCTGATCTGACATCTCTTTTGAGATCTCAGGGTCTGATTTGAGGTCTTTTGGGGGGGGGGGGGGGGGGATTTTTATCTGAGGTCTATTTGAGTGATCTCAGAATCTGAAGTGTGTGTGTGTGTGTGTGTTGGGGGGTCCTCAGGATGAGATCTGAGGTCTTTCAAAGGGGTCAGGATCTAGTTTTGTTCAAGGCCAAACTTTATTAATAAAAATGAAACTTTATCCATAAGCTACAGCTATCATCATCATTATCATGAAGGGGGTGGGGCCATGCAAGGGGTGGAGCTAAGTTTTACAGACGGTTTAGTGGTATAAAATCATCAGGCAGCAGCGCAGGAAAGTAAACAAAACTCTACTTCCTGTCTAGTTCTGTTCACTTCCTGTTGTCATTTAACTTGTGTCAGTTTTACACAGATGTGACAATGTAGGAGCCACGCTCATCGCTGCCACCACTGTCGTCCCCGCCCTTCGACTCTCGCTTCTTGGTGACGGGGGTAGGGATGAGCGAAGGTCGTGTGGGAGTGATGGAGGTGCTGCTGATAGGTGGCGTAGGGGTGGAGATGACGTCAGCATTACTCTTTCTTGGGCTTGGCGTGTAGTTAAAGGGGCTGACGCGAGCTGCCACGGCGCCACTGCGCTGCTGAGCCCGCTGCTGCTGGCGATCAGGCGGCGGTGGAGGTGGCTTATCATCTAGGCTCTCACAGCTCCGTCGCAGATTGAGATTAGAGGATGAAGAAGAGGAGGAGGAGGGAATCTTGGAGGGGATAGGGCTGTCAATGATGGGTGGGGCATTGGACGTGGTAGGCGATCGAGATGAGCAGGATGATGGTGAACGAGGGTTGTTGACAGGACAGTCTTCCAGACGAACCCACACATCTTCTGATTTGATGGTTGTAGAGTCTGCACTGCTCTTTGCTTTCCGCCATGTTCCCTTGGACCTGGCAGTGCTGTCCTCCTCGCTCCGCCCTTTCTCGCTGGACTCGGATGACGCCGACAGCACTGATGATGAGCTTCCTGTTCTCTTCCATGTGCCAACACGAGGCAAAGATGTTGAGTGTTTCCCACCAGTCCCCCCCACAGCACCACTGCCATTCTCTCGTTTCCAAGTACCGGTGCGGCTCAGGCGAGATGAGGTGACTTCCTGTGAGCGAGATGGGCTTTCAGAATGGGAACGGTTGACATCCTGTCTCCTGCTTGTGGTAGGCAGCAAGGTTTCAGGGCTGGATGGTGACTCTGGAGCTGCTGTTGATGAAGACTCCTCCATTTTCCGTTTCAATGTTGGACTTGGAGCGTCTTTGATGAAAGTTGACTGGCGGACGAGCACCGGCTTCTCAGACTCCACCTTCTGCTTCTTAGATGTAGTGGTGCTGCTGAGCCTTGATGCTGACTCACTCCTTGGAATGCTGCTAGCACTTTTTGAAGTTCCACTGTGTACGGTGATTCTGGAGGAAGTTGACGAAGTTGCACTTCCTGGAGATGCTGTACGTGGCAGCTGAGACAATCTTCCTCTCTGATTGGCTGGGGTGGTGGAGTTAGAAGGTGTAGAGTCTCGAGAAGATCCACCTACTCTGTCAGCACCATCACTGCTTCCTGGACATTTGGCCACAGCTGCAGCCCTAGGTTTGCTCCGCCCCCTGGCTGCCATCTCCGCTCGGGGCTTACCTGTGATCAGACTTCTGTACACCTTTTTCCCACCTCTCAGTGCCTTTGCTTCCTCCTCTTCCTCTTCTTTCTTTTTGGCCTCCAGTGTGCTGCTCTCACCAGGCTTCAAGATCCTGGCACCACGCTTCATTTGATGTCCATCCTCCTCCTCCTCCTCAACCTCTACATTCTTAATGGCTCTGGGCAAGTGGAAGGGCGAGCCAACAGATTTCAGAGACAGGACTGAATCAGAGTCTGATGATGGCTGGCGGGACAACGATGAAGAGGCAGCAGCGGCAGCGTTCAGACTGCTGACGACTGAATTGGCGCCTTCTTGAATAGCCTTCCAATCAAATGACTCTGAGTCGGGGGAAGCGGGACTTCTTGGTGCCTCTGACGGCTCCTCTTCAGCCAGAATACCCTCATTAGTTTTGGAGACAGGAGGGGGCACAGAGATGGAGACAGGGACTGGCAGCGTAGCAATTTTCTTTTTCTTTTTGGGCATAGCTGAGCTGATGCACTCCTGCAGAAGGTCATCCTCAGAGTCAATGCTGAGTGAACTGAGAGAGGAGTTCCGTGAGAAGCAAACAGGTGTGTCCTCCACATGGAATGCTTTGGGGGCATAGCCACTGGCAGCAGGAGGGCGGGCCTTCAACTTCACCTGTGGATGACAGAGATAACATGTTAAACAGTAACTCCGAAAGAACTTTGAAAAAAAAAAAACATTTAGTAAAGTTTACAGAATGTATATTCTTCCTGTAACCTTTATCCAACCATTTTATTCTACCAATCTAAGAGAACCTGTTACTTCCTTGCATAGGCGTCGCAACCATTATATGTGAAGGGGACAAGTCCCCCCCACATTAAAAAAAACCTTCATTTGGACCCCCCCACTTTTACTACGAAACATTAGTTCAGGCGGCGCAGTTTCTCTTTCTTCGTGAACAAATCCATTCCACTTGATTAATAGGAGAATACTCAATCTAATAAAACTCCACCCCAGGTTTTCCTGGTTACCTCCACCTCTACACACAGAGCAGAAACTGTGCAGCTGCTGAGTCTCCTGCTTCGGAAGAAAACGCGCACAGGTGCAGGAGATGGAGACACCTCTGTGTTGCTCACTCGCCAGTTTAGCAGCTTAGTGCGGGCAGTGGTTGACCAGGGGCTTGATCATAAACATATATTCATGTTAGGAGGATGCTTGAGTGCAGCGCTACGTCTGTAGCATGTTCTCTTAGCAGTAACTGTGACGCTGTGAGATGCTGCAGGTGCAAGAGACGCTGTGTGTTCAGGTGCATTAAAGTTGAAATGTGTTTAAAACCCCACACCTTATTGTCCTCAAGCTTCATGACAAACATCATTTAGACGAGTAGTGTTGAACACAAGTAAAAATGTCTAGTGCTGATGTTTTTTATTTCTCTATAAACACAAACAGTGTCGACCTGACGCTCTGTGTTAAAGTGTATTAAAGTTAAAATGTCTCTAAAACCCACAGCTGAATTTACACAAACTTGGTGAGAAATATGCTTTAAATGTGTGGAATTACAGCAAATATAGGTGAAATGTTGCTTTTTTTGTACATTAGTGCACATTTCTTTTGCGCACACGCATGCCGCGCGCACACACCTACACACATCGTTGTGTCCCCCCCACATTACGGATGCTTCTGACGCCCTTGCGAGCCCAACTAGTCAGTTGGTGTCTCTAAACCAGGGGTGCCCCCAATATTTCAGCATGTGAGCTCCTTTTAAAATGACCAAGTCAAAGTGAACAACCTCTGGAAACTAGTGTTTTTTCAATGTTTATTGGGTGTAATAAACAAAAAAGCGCGGGTCTACACGAAAAATGCTGTCGTTTCCATGTCAGCTGGGTTGCCAGATAAGAAATTAAAAACTACAGTACTGTTGCTTTAAAATGATAATTTTTTTTTTTTTTTTTTTTTTTTTACCGAAACTGTCATATGTGATGAGTAAAGATATTCTAAGATGAGGTGTGAGTTGTGTTTGTTGAAAATGTGCACAGAAAAAGAGTGGGTAATTAAGACATTTTAAATTTATCTGGCAACCCTGATGCAGGGCTCAGCTGCATTCCTTGTGCATGCAGCGTCTGCATGATCACGTTCAAACTGGTGAACACACTAACGTCTTTTTGGAACTGGATTTTATTAGTTTTGCTCCTACCTGCTTAAAAAGGTGAGCAGCACAAAAACAATCTGCTCTCTGACATTCATTACAACTGTTGTTAGTGCAGAAAAACTTTGGACTGCAGCCGCCTGCAGTGAACATGTTCGACTTCATACGGAGAATTTCATGGGGTGGGGGTTAAATATGGATAAATATAAATATTTCCCCTGAAAATCTCCACTCTGAGACCTGGTTTGAGTGAATGAGGGCTGTGACTGGCTGCCCTGTATGTCAATCAAGTAACACATTTCATAGTGAGGATGGATGATAGGCTGACGTTTACTTTTTTTTAATGCCATGCGATCTACCCATAATGCCTTTGCGATGGACAGGTAGATCATAATCGATGTATGGGGCACCCCTGCTCTAAACCTTACACACAAGCTCCAGGTCCTTACCTGCCAGTGAAGTGAGGTTCTTCATAACTAAAGGCAGTTTATGATGCCATGGATCAGTACGCTCTCACCTAACACAACACTGACTCTTCTCCCCAAGGGTGGTGGGCCCACACTGTACCTGCCTGAGTACCTCAGCACTGTGACTCACCTCCGCAGGAGAGGGAGGAGACTTTGCTGTTGCTTTGCCAACAACTTCCTCCTCCTCTGCTGGTGGTGGCGGTGCAAACTCTTTGTTGTTGTTCTCTTGGTCAATGTCACTCAGTGAGCTCAACGAAGGGTTTCTTGAAAAACAGACAGGTGTGTCTTCGATGGCAAATTTTTGCTTCTCGTCTGAGTCCATCTGTTTGGATGTAGTTTTGGTCCGAGGGAAGACAGCAGCAGTTTGCTGTTTGGTCTTTCTGCCTTCTTCTTCTTTAATCTTCCTGTCATCACCTTCCTTCTCTCCACATTCATCTTCATCAAAGTCAAGGGAGCTCAGTGAGTCATTACGTGAGAAGCAACATGGCGTTCCCTCGATGGGTGTGTAATGACGTGGCGAATCAAAGGCAAATCCTGGTTTTGGTTTAGCGGCTGTTGTCATGGCAACATTGTATGGTGCCCGCTGAGGCATTGGCTTCACAGGAGATGTTGGCTTCTTCTTCTGAAGCTGCTGGGAGAGTGAAGGTGGGATTGGAGGAGAGATGGCAGGAGGAAGAGATGGGGCCAGAAGGTGCTCATTGTTTGCTGCTGCTGCTCTGATTGGCTTCTTGGGTTTGGCTTTAGGCATGGCGGCGTTAATGCACTCAGCCAGGATGTCATCCCCATTTTCACCTTCAGGAAATCCTGCCCGCTTCCTTGAAGCAGAGGTGGGCAAAGCCACAGGAGCTAGAGTCAAAGGAGCCTCCTCATTAGGAGGGGAGTCGATGGTGAGGTCACTTAGAGAGGTGGCGGTGGAAAAGTTGAGTGGTGTCCCTTCCACACAGTAGACTTTGGGCACCTCCTCAGGTGGTGGTGGATTGTCCTTATGTGGCTGTGCTCTACTTTGTGGTGGGAGGAGCTTGTAAACGGGGAGCTGGCTGGATTTGCGTGGAGCTGGCTGCTGCGGTTTCTTTGGTTTCTGGGACGGCTTGGGCATGGCCATGGTGATGCACGCCACCAGGATCTCGTTGTCATCATCATCAGACTCATCTAGGATTGGTTTGGGGGTCTCTTCCTTCGTCTCCTTGTTCCCACCCTGCTCCTCATCCTTTGTCTTCATCTTCATCTCAGCTGTGATGTATGGCTCATCCAGACTGAGCGCACTCAGACTAGAAGCGCAGGAGAAACCGTGTGGGGTGCTTTCTGTGGCAAAGTGCAGCATGACATCTGCACTGCTCTCCTCCTCCCTGGCCTTGAGCTCTTTCTTGGTTGCTTGAGCAGGTGGCGGCAGCGGTGGCGTCTTGGCTCTGCTAGGAGGCATTGTCTGACCTGGGCTGTCAGGAAGGTCGCTGGGGCTGACCACGCCACTTGGCACACCACTGCAGGGCTCGCTGGAGCGAACAGAGCTCGCAATGGAGGAGGTAGAGAAGCTGTCGAGCGAGCTGACTGATGTGCAACGACTGAACATTAATGGTGTTTCTTGTGCATACGGCTGCTCCGGCGGACTCTTAGGAGTTCTTGTGCCTGATGATGATGTTGCATTGTGGTGGTGGTGATGGTGATGGGAGTGGCCATGGTGGTGGTGATGGCCACGTCGTCCTCGAGTAGAGGGGACAGCGGCTGTCTGACTCTCTGCCTCTTTCTGTTGGTGTCGTTGTTGTTGCTCTTGACTGCCTTTCTCGCTGACAGGAAGTGTCGGGTAGTTGTTGCTGCTGTTGCTGCCACCTTTCCTCTTCCTCCCGATGCCATCCTCTTCATCTTCTGATGACAACGAGGACAGTGAGCTGCCCCTGGAAAAGCAGATGGGCGTGTCCTCCACACAGTATATCTGTGTCGACTCTTGGTTGCTTTTTGTCATTGTGCGTGAGGGAGCCAGGGGGTGGAGCTTAGATGAGGGAGGAGGAGGAGCCAGCGAGGGCACAGCTGTCTCTTCTTGCTTGAACAGTGGTTTGCGTGTGGTGTCCGCACTGTACTTTAGGCTGTAGTCAATGGGTTGTTCAGGGGTAGGGTCATTGCTGTAGTTTGGTGGTGCTGTGACAACATAGTGTGGAGGTGGCACAGACGCCATGTGACTACCATTCGGTCCCGATTCTGCACCATTGTTTGTTTGCAGTCGGACATCCTGACCATCATCACTGTCCATGTCGCTGCGGTGACTCGGACTCTGTCTCCCAGAGTTCAGCTGCTCGTCCGAGTACTTCAGGCTGTAGTTGATGGGCGTGTCCAGCTCTGCGCCATCATCGTCTGCCATATGATTGGCACTACGAATCTTATGAGCCAGGTCTGCAGGGTACTTCCTGTAAACACAACACTTGTTGGCTCCGCTCTCATCAGAGGAGTAGAATGTGTCAGATGATGGCTTGGTCTTGCCACGGTTGCCATAGCCCTCAGTGCTTGTTACACTGTTGAGGCTGTCGCTGGACGCACGCACACTGGGCGGGAACATTGACCGAGCATACGCCCCTTCCTCACTCATCCTCTTTGATCCATCTCCACTCTTCGGACTTGACAAGACTGGCGTGTTGGTATAGGAGCGTGTTGCACTTCCTCCTCCTGCTCCAGCGCCATTACAGCCCCGTCCTTTCCTGTGTGCCGCTTTGGGGCTCAGGTTGTCAATGTTATCAAATGTCTCTGATAGCTGCTGAGCATCCAGCTCCTCAAATAAAGCTTTTTGTTTTCTAGCATGAAGCGACGGAGCCCCGGCACCTGGTGACACTACGCTGGCATCCTTGTAGCGAGCTGGCCTGTTAGCCATCAGATTACGCAGAGCGGCAGCACTGCCCATGGCGATCATCTTGTGTCGTGAGTGGATGAGATTGCGCAGCATGCCTACAGCACCCAGTTCCCACAGCGTCTCCTGATCTTTAGCATCCCGGGCCGACAGGTTCCAGAGCGTCCCACAGGCATTGGACACAATGGTTAAACTGTGAGACTTCAGGTGCTGCAGCAGTGTTGGCAGGCAGCCATGCTCACGTAGAATCTGCCTGAAATACAAGACGCAGGGTCACTGTGACATATCTGAGACATTCTGCACTTTCAGGTGCAAATTGTTTGTTTATATTGTTTACCTGTGTGCCTCGTTGGTGGCGATAAGGCTGGAAACATTCCGGAGAATTCCTCCGCCACTCTCGATGATAGCAAGAGTGTTGGTGTGGCTGCGGTGTGTCAGGGTTCCTACTAGAAACGCCAAAGCTCCGTCCACGGTACAGATGTCTGCTTTGTTCTCTGTACAGTGAGCCGACAGGTTCCAGAGAGCGCTCAGCACAGACTTCAGAGTGGACTCCTGAAACAGAGACAGTGTGAGACGTCAGACTGAGCATGCTCAGTACTCTTCTGAGACCATGTGATTGTTTTGTTTACCTTTTGGACTTCCAGAGCGCAGCCCATCAGCGCACGTACACTGCCGACCTCCCGGAGTGTTTTCTTACTGTTGACATCAGCACGCCATGAGAGGTTCCTCAAGACACTGGCTATCACCTGGAAACACAAGAGAGACTCTGTATTACCTGAACAGGCCTGCTATCTCTCAGCTTGTTGCTATGGTACCAAGCTGCACACACCTGCTGCAAGTCTTCACTGTCTGACTTGAGCTGAGCAACCATCGCCCTCATGCAGCCCTTCATGGAGCACAGTGTGGCCTGGTGGAAAAAGAACACCAAGATGCTGAGATCTTATGGGCTCCTGAGGTAAATAGTTGTAAAACAACTGCTATCACCTTATTGGCTACATCTCCAAATGTGAGGTTGGTGAGGGCCATGCCAGCGTATCGCCTCAGAGTGACGCTGTAATGATCGCTGCTCAGCCCAAACATCTCACAGTCCACCTGCAGCAGCTCCGCCACAGCTTGAAGACCTCCTGCAGGGGTAAAAAACAACCCAAGAAGCAATTAGAACCCAGCTGTTAAACCTGGTCTGAACCTGGACCAGTAGACTGACCTAGCTCGTTCATGGCATGGCGATGCTCTTCATCAAACGACAGTTTCATGAGAACGCAGACGGCGGGACAGATCTGATGCTCTACAGGAGACGGCACTGCAACACAGTCACACGTGTTAAAATACCCCCAGTAACACTCTGTGGTCATGTGACCAACAACTCACTAGGGTTGTCCTCCTGATCGACGCCCCTCTCGTGGTTTTCCTGCCAGCTCCAGCATGCTTCACAGTAATGGCGGACCTGCTCCAGCAGGTGGAGCACTCTAATCTCTCGCCGCCCCCTCTTGTCGTCTGGCTGACTGTGCACGATGTTGTGCAGCGCCGCTGCCGCTCTGGCTCGAGCTTCCTTACTGCCACGAGAGTTACCTGGATAACCACACAGATGTGAACACAAAACGTGTGGGGGCTGCAGGAAGTAAGCAGAAAGCCGGCCGTTACCTAGCAACAGGGAGTCCTTGTCGTTGCCGTGCAGCAGCTGAATGAGCAGCGGCAGGCAGCCGGACTGACGCATAGCAATGCAGGAGTCCTGGGAGCTGGACATGGCGAGCAGCGTGCGAGACATGTCGTCTTTATCGTGGGTTCCCAGCATGGATAGCAAGCTGTACACCATCTCCACCTGCAGGGGGCGACACAGAGCAGAGTCAGCACCTCCTCTGCCCGCCCAGGAGGTGGACCCCACCAGCAGCACCCAGTCCAAGTTACCTTTGTCCCCAGGTGGCTGGTGATTCGTCGAGGCACGGAGTAGCTTGTCTCATTGGCCGGATCCTGGTCTAATCGGCTGACAGAACTCTGGGGGAAAAACAGAACTTAAATATAGATCAAAGCAAGCAGGTAACCAATCAGAACAAAGATCAGCACACTCACCTGAGCACCAGCCAATCCACCGCTCTCACCTGCACTCTGACCACCCTCCGCCTGCAGAGACAGACAAGTTACTAAGGTAAGAGTTACGCAGGTGTTACTGTCCTGGCAGGTGAGCTTACCTGAAGTCGAGCTCCCAGCCTTAAGATGTCCTTCTCTATCTGCTGAATTCGGGACACACGAGTCTGAAAAATATACAGACCTCTTCAGGAAAATCTCAGAGGATGTCTTACAATACACAGGTGACGTACATGTGGGTTCAACCTACCTGAGCCCTCCTCTCCATTTCCTGACAGGAGCCCAGCTGTTCCTCCATCGCTGATCGGATCTGACGAGCCTCGTACTCCAGCTGACGGCGACTCATATCTGTCTGCAGAGTGAACTGAGACAAACGGCAACATCAGAGACTACAGCTCCCAGCATGCATTGCAGCACAGTTTCTGAGGAACAGCTACCATAATTGCCGGTGTATAAGCCGCTACTTTTTTCTCACGCCTTGGACTCTGCAGCTTACACACAGGAGCAGCTAATTTGTGCACTTTTATAATAATTTTAATATTTTATTTTATTTTTATATTTTATTTTGACAGGCTTCCTGCCGCTGAATAACATATAAACATTTAAAGGGCCTTTACAACAATCTGTGCCTCATTTATCCATTCATACAGCACTCTACTAGATCCCTACAAAGCTAACTGAACAAATCATTCTAATGAGACTAATCAGAGCTTTAGATCACATTCATACACTGATGGGACACACATCGGAGGCGATGAGGGTTCAGTGTCTTGCCCTGAGACACTTCGGCATGTGACTGCTGGTGGATTCGAACCCCCAACTCTTGCATTGGAGGACGACTGCTCTAACCACTCAGCCACAGACGACTGCTGCATGATGATGGAGACAGCACGAGGGAAAGTGACGGCGAGAGCGAGACGGAGGCGGTGTGTGATGATGTTCTTTTGAACCTCTTTAATTCTGACACTGAAGAAGACTTTAATGGTTTTAGAGCACAGTGGAAGAAGAACATAGCAATAAGTGTCTTTTTGCTGACTACCAGTACATTTGTTTGGTTTTTTTTTTACCAGCCGTATTAAAGGCATTTTTCAGAAAAAAAATAAATAAATAAATTTACCAGCTGTTCCCTCCCTTGGTCATGTGGGCTCCACGGAGCAGAAGTCACGGAAAATCTATTTTTAAAGCCGTCCCAAATACTGGTACATATTTTAATAGAAGTTTTACAATTCTTTCTGTGTGAAATCTTTCTGTGTACGGTAAATATGTGTTTAAATACCAGCATCTCATTTTAAGCTCACTTCTGAACACATGAAACGGTGCAGAGGAGACAACGGGAAGGGATATTCCCCCTTCCCCTTAGTCATGTGGGCTCAGCAGAGCAGAAGTCAAGTCAAATTTATTTTTAAAGTAGTCGCAGTCAGTCAAGACTGGTACATATTTAAATTCATCCATCCATCTTTACTCACTTCTGCCTTTTTGGGTCACTGGTAGGGGTTGAACAGTATATAATTTTTAAACTCGAGTCGACATTAACATAATAAAACCCGAGTAGAACTCGAGTATTTGATGACATCATAGATCTCAAGATACAAAAATAAATAAATAAATAAAACCGCAAAAAAAAGGTAATTATTTACAAAAAAAGACCAACAAAACATTGGGAGTGTATATTATGCTCCTACCATTTATCATACTGCAAATAAGTCACAGGAAAAACTAAACTATTAGTTATTATTATTATAATATTATTATATGCAGCACGTCAAAAACGAAACTCAAACTGAAACTGGTTCTGGTTCGGTGGATTGGACCCGGTGTTACACCATACTCTGTGACCTGCAACAGTGCAACACCGCCCCCTACGGTCATACGGTGGTCACATAATATGACGTCACTACGGATACTCGACGTTACATTTTTAACCTCGATAGAGGTCCTAGTAATCGATGTGTAGATTACTCGAGTACTCTGTTAATGCCCTAGTCACTGGTGCCCATGTCCAACCATGACTGTGCGAGAGGCAGGGGACACCCTGGACAGGTCTCCAGTCCATCACAGGGACACAGAGACAAACAACCATTCACTCTCTCACTCACATCTACGGACAATTTAGAGTTACCAATCAGCCTAACATGCATGTTGTTGGTTTGTGAGAGGAAACCGGAGTACCCGGAGAAAACCCACGCAGCACAAAGAGAACATGCAAACTCCACCCAGAAAGGCCCCTGGCCAGGATTTGAACCGGTAACCTTCTCACAGAGAGGCGGTAGCTCTACCAACTGCGCCACCATGTCGCCCATATATATTTCAATAAAAGTTTTTTTTTTTTTAATTCTGTGTACATAAATATCATGGATGATTGTGCTTAAAACCCTTTTCTTAATTGTGTCAGCTCTCAATGAGAAAAAGGGAGGGGGGCTTTCCCCCTCCCCCGTGGGTCATGTGACTCATGACTCAAATGGGCTACGCCGAGCAGGAGTCGCATCAAATTTACTTAGAAAGTACAGTAGTCCCTCGTTTATCGCGGGTGTTTGGGACCACGCCCACCCGCGATAAGTGAAAAGCCATTAAGTAGTTCAAGTTCAGTTCAAGTTCAGTTCAAGTTCAGTTCAAGTTCAGTTCAAGTTCAAGCTCAGTAAACTTTGTCATGACATGAGCCAGGCTGTAATCACACTCATCACCTGCTACTCTCAATCTCCCTCCTTAAATAAACAATTTAAATTTAAATTTTGTAACATTTTAAATAAAAAATCCGTGCAGCATGGATTGTTTATTTAATGTTACAGTATTTAAATTTAAATAGTGGAGAAGAGAAGTGCAGCAGGACATCAAGTGATGTCACGCAGCTTCAGCTCTGCAGCACGGAGCAGAAATGTACTTCTTGATCAGTCACACTTCAACAACTGAACAAAAAGTTCTAAAATAATTAAAAATAACTTTTAACACTTTTATATTTTGTGATTATGACAGTTTTACAATGTGACATACTTTTAATTTTAATTTGGAAGACAAAAGTCGATCGGTGCATCTGGACAGCGAAGGGTTAACCCTTCACAAAGCTGATGCAGGAGAAATGTGGGCATGGCAGAGAAGGAGATCAGCTGATCAGCTGCAGGAGGGAGCTTCCCCTGCACTTGTGGGCTGCACACTTGGTGCAAAAACATTTCAAATAATTTATTTTAAATAAACAATTCATGGCTCATCCATCAATCAACCAACTGTCACGTCCAATCTTACTTTGAAAATCCGCAATAAACGAACCGCGAAGTAGCGAGAGACTATTGTACATTTAAAAACAGCAGCTATTACCAAAAGTGTTTAACAATAAAAATCAATGGTAGTAATTTATGAATACTTACTGTATTTTACCATTATAGTACTATGTGACTCCCATTCACATGACCTCGATAGGGATTGTGGGTAAAATTTACTGGTATGTAATTTTTAAATAATTTTGTTTATGTAGGTGTTTGTCTCTGTTCTGTCCAGTGATTATGCTTAAGATAGTTCTTGTGCTCATTTTGTAGGTTGAATGGTTTTAACCATGAGCCAGAGCCAAGAGTCATGAAGTCCTGTCCTGCATGCCAAAGTCTATGAAACGCCATCTAGTGGTTGATTCTTATACTACAACAAGAGCTCCAAAGTTCATGCTCATTACAACAAGAGCTGCACAGACTACCAGAAGGTGTGTACAGGTTCTGAGAATTAATTGTGGACACCCGTGGCTTAAACACCGGCGCGTCTTATTTATGTACAAAATTGTGTTTTACTTTAAATTGAGTATACGCGACTTACAGTCAGGTGCGTTCTATAGACTAGCAATTACAGTAATAATTAAAGTTTAGCTGTCGCACTGAATTGTGTTCCAGAAATGTTCAAAACCACCAGGACTGAATATGGACTTTCAGTTGCGAAGGTGTGAATAGCAAAATCCCATCAGAACCATCCATATTTTAAGCTTTGATGTTCTGAAACATTACGTCAGAATTATTTTGGGGTTTCTGGACTTCTGCAGGTCCAACTGTAAACACTTACTTTTTCTGTGAGTGGAAGACTGTCGATCCTCTTGGTGAGGTTCTGCAGCTGAGCGTAGTACCAGTCTTTCTCCTTCTCCTCCTTCTCCAGCTCAGCCAACAGAAGAGATCTGTGAGGAAGTGGCAGCCAATCACAGAGCAGAGTGAGTTACCTGGTTGACATCTAAGAGAGGCTCACACCTGTTACATGTTTGAATAAATTCACCTGAACGTCACTTAACCTTTAGCTGCACTGAGCTCAAGTTTGGCTGCAGTACTTTTCATGGTACTAGTACTCCAGCAGCAGCACTCTCAGTAGTATCAGTACAGTAGTATTAGTACTTGTGTGTTAGTACGTCCAGTAGTCTCAGTACCTCTCATTCTCCAGCTCCTCCAGGCAGCGCTCGTGGCTGTCTCTGCCCGCAGACTGCAGCCCTTTCCTGGGGAAGGCAGTGGATGAGGGAGGGCCCGAAGCTCCAGAGCCTCCAGCTACTCCTGAAGGAGCTCCTGAGGAAGAGGAGGCCGAGCTGGAGGAGGGGGGAGGAGGAAGCCTGGTCTTGGGCTTGAAGGCGGCTGGGTCCAGGCTGATCCCTGCAAGACGTAACACAGTGAGGGCGCAGCGCGGACAGTAAGACCCGCTCCGATTGTGAACCTTTACTTTGTTCACCTTTCAGTCTTTCTATCAGCTCCAGCTGAGAGCCAGACATCTCCCCAGACTCTTCTTCTATGGTGCCCTGCAGCTGCTTCAGCACTTCCTGTTTGAGACAAAGAGGCAGTATGGTGTTACCTCATGGTGGGATCCAAAAGAACATCATTCAGATGAAGATAAAACTTCACGGGTCGACAACAGTCCTGACTCACCATGATCGATCTGCTGCGTTTATACAGAGACATGATCACACGCATGCACACATGCACGCACACATGCACGCACGCACACACCAAGAAACAGGAATAGTCTGTATTTGTACAGGAATAACGAGACAAGAACAAACCATGGACAGAAAATAACAAAACTACATGAAAACATCACAACAACAAAACAACACAATAAACAGCAACACAAACAAGCCCACCACCAAGGCTCATGCCAGACTACAGAAAACAGCAGACAAGAGAACATGTGACCAAAGATGGGAAGAGACAGACCGCTCATTCTGACAGAACTATTTTAGTCCAAGCAAAGATCTACACACAAACAGACCTGTCACTCTGAGGCAAAACAAGGAGCTCATTCTGACGCTAAAGCCTGAGGAGAGCAGCACAGGTCTATTTATTTTGTAAATTTACTTTTGTTTAAACTGGTAATCTCATTAAGACAGGCAACAAATTTGCATTTGTTGCCTGACATTTGCAACAAAGTCCTGTAAAATGTCCCAGAGGGATCAAACTAGACCATTTCAGAACTGAGGGGACACTTAAAAGAAATAAAATCCTGGGAACGCCGGCTGTGACAGAACCGTCGTTGACATCAGAGGATAGAGGCGAGTAGGAGAGCAGGCTGGGGATGGATTTGTAAATGAACGTGTACCAGTGAAGAAGTCTGCAGGTAAAACATCATGACCCATTGACCACAGCGTACAGAGCAGGACTATTCAACTGGTGGTCCGTGGGCCAGGCTTCAATCTGGCCCACTTCATTAAAAAAATAATAAATTGGGGGTTCTGGGTTTGGAGTTCCGTTTATTGCATTTATGAGTCGATGCAACAAAATAAACCAATTTAAAAGGTAACAGATAATTGTAATACTTGGTTTATTTACAAAATGACTTTAATCGCTGGATGTCCGGCCCCTGAGCTGCAGGCTGTCAGTAACTGTGGCCCCGAGTTTAGTTGAATAGCCCTGGTATAGAGTACTGTGGTGCGTGAGAGGTTTACATGTTATGAATCCTATTATATGTATCTATAGTTGTAGAAACTTATAACGCACTGATAAAGTACAATATTATATCCTGAAAAACAAATTAGGTTTACAAATGCTTATTGTGCTTGTACTGAGCTTGTAGCTGTCGGCTCCGAGCAAACAGTTTCCGGAACGCACCTGGTCAAGATGAGGGAGTTTGCGGATCTTGTTGCAGCAGGATCCGGCTCAAATAAATCACTGCTGCTGCGTCTCTCAGAGCCGAGATCAACCAGGCTGGGTCTGCTAATTTAGAGCTAAAAAAAAAAAAAGTCTTCCCACCCGGACGAACTGGAAAAGCTGCGTGCAACGGTGGTGGAGCTGAAGACTGAAAATGATGAGCTAAAAAAACAGTGTGAGGTTGTAGAGGACCGAACCAGACGTGATATTAGGATGGGTGGACTTCCTGAGTCAGCGGGTCACTGTTATTACTAACATGCTAAAGGAAGTCCTAAAGTTTGATAAATCACCGCTGATCGACTTCGTGTACCAGACACCAGCCAGGGGTGGCTCAGATGGGAGACCCGGAGTGGTCGTGGCCAAGCTCCATTACCATCGGAAACGTGTGGAGATTCTACAGCGAGCGCGCAGCGGCGGTCAGATAAGCTTCAAAAGGGTCGGCCATGTTCATCTCAGCTGACTACACCCCGTATCGGACATGGAGGACTTTTTTTGAACACCTTGAGTTTCCTTCAGTGGCTCCTGTTCCCACTGAGGACCTGGAGAAGGAGTTCTCTGTGGCTGAGATGAACTCTACAATCAATGATATGCAAAATGGGAAATCCCTGGATCAGATGGCTTCCCATCTGAATTTTTAATCTACTTTATCTTTATTAAGGTCTGTGTTTGAGGAATCACTGGCAGCACAGATTTTGCCACTGACCATGCTCCAAGCTGTAATCTCGCTGTTATCTAAGAAAGACAAAGACCCTCTGAACTGCGGCTCATATAAACCCATCTCGCTTTTAAATACTGATGTTCAGATTCTTGCAAAGGTCCTGGCAACACGAATGGAGCAGGTGGTCCCCACTATTGTTTCACCTGATCAGACCAGGTTTGTTAAAAACCATCAGGCTTTCTTCAATGTTAGGCAGTTACTTGACGTACTGTATACTCCTGAAGCGAGCAGTTAATGCGAGGAAACCACGAGCATCTCAGAGTTGAAGCTGTTCTGTTCGGAGGAATGGAATAAATTCCTCCAAGCTGGTGAGCAGGACTGATCAACAGTTACCAGAAACATTCAGTTACAGTTACTGCTGCACGGGGGGTCACAACAGATAATGAAAGCAAGGGTTCACATACTTTTACCACTCACAAATACGTAATAGTGGATCATTTTCCTCTATAAACAAATGACCATGTATAATATTTATGTGTCATTTGTTTAACTGGGTTCTCTTTATTCACTTTTAGAACTTGTGTGAAAATCGTCTCTTTTTGAATACGAGAAGTTTGAACGGGGACATTTCTGTGTGCCTGACTGAGCCCAGTGGTCACTTAAGTAGTTAGAAACACTTGTTGCTGAAAATCTATGTGACATATTTGTAATGAAAAGATCAATAAGACATGATTTATTGTGACATTTGAGATTTAAAAGAGTGGGACTTGCAATGATTTGAGTAGTTAAAAGAGAAACAGTAAGTCTTGAAATCGTCAAGGTTCAAGGAGACTTTATTGTCATTCGCATCACATGTGGTACATGAGGTGGAACAAAATTGTGTACACAGGGTCCCAGTTATGCCCAAAAATAGCAAAAATATGAAGTATAGAAAAATAAACAGTATACAGTAGTCCCTCATTTATTGTGGGTGTTTGGGACCCCCCCCCCCCCCCCCCCCGGGGCAATAAGTGAAGAACTGCAAAGTAGGGAGACAGTAGTTCAAGTTCAGTTTCAGTAAACTTTGTCATGACATGAGCCAGGCTGTAATCACACTCATCACCTGTTACTTTCAATCTCCATTCTTAAGTAAACAATTTAAATTTAAATGTTGTAACATTTTAAATAAACAATCCATGCAGCATGGATTGTTTTTTTAAAATGTTACACAATTTAAATTTAAATTGTAGAGAAGAGAAGTGCAGCAGGACATCAAGTGATGTCACGCAGCTTCAGCTCTGCAGCACGGAGCATACATGTACTTCTTGATCAATTACACTGAAACAACTGAACACAGAAGTTCTAAAATAATTAAAAATAGCTTTTAACACTTTTATATTTTGTGATTATGACAGTTTTACGATGTGACATACTTTTAATTTTAATTTGGAAGACAAAAGTCGATCGGTGCATCTGGACAGCAAAGGGTTAACCCTTCACAAAGCTGCAGCAGGAGAAATGTGGGGGTGGCAGAGAAGGAGATCAGCTGATCAGCTGCAGGAGGGAGCTTCCTCTGCACTTGTGGGCTGCACACTTGGTGCAAAAACATTTAGATAATTTATTTAAAATAAACAATTCATGGCTCATCCATCAATCAACCAATTTTCACGTCCAATCTTACTTTGAAAATCTGTGATTAAACGAACCCGCGATAAATGAACCACGAAGTAGCGAGGGACTAATGTACAAGGATTTAAGATATACGCTAAACAATAATAATGTAATATAACACTTAATGCTCCTCAACCTCCTTCCTGAGGGGAGTGGGGCAAAAAGTGTGCTGGGTGAGCGGGGTCCTTCATGATGCAAGTGACTCTTCCTGCATCTGGAGGTGTAGATGTCTGTGATGGTGAGGAGACTGATTCCAACATCTTCTGTGCAGCCTTCACCACTCTCTGCAAAGCTTTTCTTTCTGCAGCTGTGCAGCCTCCATGCCACACGTTGATGCTGGAGCACAGGATGCTCTCCACTGCACACCTGTAGAAGGAGGTGAGGACTGAGCTTCCCAGACCAGCTCGTCTCAGCCGCCTGAGGAAGTAGAGTCTCTGATGAGCTTTCTTGATTAGTGCTGTTGCCTCAGGTGTACACCCAAGTACTTGTAACTAGAGACCACTTCAACCACAGATCCTCCTATGTTCAGAGGGGAGTAGGTGTGTTTGCCCCATTCTGAAATCCACAACCATCTCCTTCATCTTCTTCACATTGATGTGGAGGTTGTTCTTCCTGCACCAGCTCTCCAGGTGTTTCACCTTTTGCCTGTAGTCAGACTTGTCACTCTTTGTGATGCATCCAATCTCTGCTGTATCGTCTGCAAACCTGACAGCCTGGATGAGTAGGTGTGCAGTCATATGTGAGCAGAGTAAACAGGAGAGGGCTCAGCACACACCCCTGAGGGGAGCCAGTGCTGAGGGTTATGGTGCTTGAGGAGAAGTTGTGGATCCTCACAGACTGCGGCCTGTTGGTTAAGAAGTCCTTGTCCCAGTGGCAAATGGAGGGGCTTAGACCTAGTGTGAGGAGTTTATCAATCAGGGTATGGGGGATCAGAAGGGGGACATTGATGTAAACCAATCCCAATTGAAAACACCTCCCAGGATAATTTATTGAGATTGTAAGTCAGATAGTTGCTGGACTAATGATGCCAGGGTATCAGCGGCGGCAGATGAAGGCCTCCTGTATAACAGGTGACTACAGTCAAAATCTGGAGTGCCCACCAAACATATCAATTTTTAAGGCTAAAAATTCAAACTTTTGGGGGACCGAGTTGATTATAGAAAGCTGAGAATGACGACGACTCCCTCCCTCTCCCATTTTATGTGAGACACTTTATGGGATGGGGGACACTGCCATGTTTTTACATTTTGAACGCAGCATCATTATATGCCAAGTCCAAGTGTTCACATGAGGTGTTGCATTAATAAAGGTTCACAGCTGAATGTGAGGTGATGAACATCATCCTGTCACTGATTCAGGTTGGGAAAATCTAATCATCTTCTGTCTATATTTAAACAGATTGTTTTACAGTGCCAGCATGGTGGAAAAGTGGTTAGAGCCATTTATTCAAGGGATTATCAGCATGGTATCGGTTGATATTAGCGTCAAAGTTCAATATCGGACATCAACCATTCCATCAAAATAACTCACCGATATAAAAGACGCTGTTTTTGTATGACAACCCAGTGACAAGGATGCCTGCAGCGGCAGCGCAACGCGATGACGTCACGCGCGCCTACCTGATCTCACGGCGGAGAGGAAAATTCAAAATGTCGGCGGTGTGGAAGTTTATTTTTCGTTATTGAGTATGTCAGATTCCGAAGATTAATGGACTACATTGAGCCTCGCTACATCGTCCCCAGTCAGAGAGATTTTTCCGACGTAACGTTCCCTGAGTTGTTGGGTGAGTTTTACCACAGACATCAAGTGTCAGCCCCGTGAGCATGATTAGTCTTACGGCACAATGGATAGACAAAAACTTTGAACTTAAAATGTCTGTCCTTCATGCACAGGAGTGCAGAGGATCCCACACTGCAGCTAGGAACCTGGAACAAGCCTCCACAAGTGAGACAGCATCGCAGGTGACTAATGCACCACCTGGTGGTGGATGGGTTAAATGCAGGGACTAATTTTGCCATTGTATGGAAACATACAGTGATGACATTATTATAATTAATGCTAATAAATAACATTTAACATTTTTCATTTAATATAAGTTAAAGTGCTATGCATATGACTGTTACTGAATATATGTCACCAGCTGTTGCACAATTTTTGTAGCAAATAAGCCAAAATAAGAGGAATATGTTCTGACAAAGGAATAAAATAAAGTATAGAAAATATCGTTATCGGCCGAATAAGTTTTAACATATCGGATATCGGCCAAAAATCCAATATTGTGCATTCCTAGTTGATTCATAGCAAGAAGGTTGCAGGTTTGCTTCCTGGTCGTTCTAGATACAGATTACATGTTGTCCTTGTTTTTTCCAGGTTCTCCAGCTTCCTCCCACAGAACAGAAACCTCCACGATAGGTTCATTGGTAACACTAAATGTCTTCAGGTGTGACTGACAGCAAATGTTTGTTAGTCCTGTTTGTCTCTGTGTCCCCGTGATGGACAGGACACCTGTCTTTGTGTCCCCCATCCTTCACACAGGTACTGTTGGAGATAGACACCAGCTCCCTGCGATCCGTAAAGATCATGAATGGATGGGTGGATGGATGTTAGTTTTTTGTTGTATCTTTCATGTTCTAACAGAACCACAGAGAGCAGCTGAGATGACTCAAGAACCATTAACTTGATGATAGTCGGTGTTCCTGAGAGAAGAAATTACTTCTTTATATAACGGGCTATCTCTGCCTGAAATAACTACAGGCTGGCTAAACTACCCGTAGTTTGGACATGTCGTTGTAGTTTGGAGCTGCAGTTGAACTTGCGGTAGTTCAAGTGTGAACCCTCACCTTCATGTTGCAGGCCTCGGTCTCCAGCTTGGTCAGGTGGTTGGAGTTGTCCTGCAGCTCCTGTCTCAGGTTGGAGTTCTCCATCTTTAGCACCTCCACCTGCCTCAACAGCTGGTCGTACGACGCTGCTGCCATCTTGGACTACAAACGTCTGACCTGCAACAACAAGACACCAACGGCACTGACTTACAGGTACCACTAGTACCACCAGTACTCTGTTGTCATACGTAGTACTCCACAGTACTCTGTAGTACAGCTAGAATGCTGTTTGCAATGCTGATCTGTAAGGATGATACCACGGCTGAGTTTGATCGGCCATGATAAATTTGCAGCTGATTCTGGGTCAGCTCACGGATCAGAACCAACAGAGATAATTTCAGAACCAGACACAGCCCCCTCCAACCCCCACCAAAGGTTGGCCATTTTCTCCCCCTCCTCCCTGCATCCCCTGCTCTTCCTGCCCAGCATCTTTCAATTCGTAGCAGGAAGCCCTGACAGAAATCCAAAGAGGTAAACCAGCTAAGAACAAACAATGAAAGACCCCCCCACAGGAAACCCTTTATCCTGCAGGAAGACTGACACAAACATGCAGACGGATAAAGGATGTAACGACAGAGGATAAAGAGAAAATGGCAGCTTACCCCATCGCTGCTTCCTCCATCAGCCTCCGTCTCTGTATCTAACTGGGGGGGGGTCAGCTGAGCTGCCCAGCAGCCAATCAGGAGCCAGGCACAGAGAGAGCAAGAGGGAGGGAGAGCCCCGAGCCCCCCTCCTCTTCTCCCAGCATGCTCTGCAGCACTGCAGGCAGCCTGACTGGGTTACTGAGTTACTAACACGCCCAGATACACAGAAAATAAACTGAAATTACACAGAAGAAACACTGAAAACACTAAGAATACACATAAAAACACCATTAAATACACTACGAACCACAACAATTATGCATCCAAAATACATCAAAAGATACTTCATAAATACACTATTAAATACATACAAATACACCAAGAAATACACAAAAACTGCACCGATAGATGCTGGAGATTCTCAGTCATCCAGGACCAATCTAAAAAATATAAATATGTATATTTCTCATACAGGGAGCTTCCTGAAGTTACACCTGGGGAGGGTGGACTTCCATATTTTTAACACCATAAAATACAACAATTAGTAAACTACAAAATACACAGAAATGCACCAAAAAATACCAATAAAGTTAAGTCAGGTCCTCTGGATGTTTTTTTTTTTTTTTTTGTTGAAAACGATTATTGAGCATGAATCGGGATGTTTTGAACCACTTTTGCCCCTTTTGCACTGCCCCTAACCAACCTGGCTCTGCTCAGCCCTGCACACTAGGGGTTGAACAGTATATAATTTTTAAACTCGACATTAACATAATAAAACCCGAGTAGAACTCGAGTATTTGATGACGTCATAGATCTCAAGATACAAAAACAAATAAATAAATAAAACTGCAAAAAAGGTAATTATTTACAAAAAAAAAGACCAACAAAACATCGGGAGCGTATATTATGCTCCTACCATTTATCATACTGCAAATAAGTCACAGGAAAAACTAAACTATTAGTTATTATTATTAAACTGCAAACGTGAAGAAACACGCAGCACGTCAGAAATGAAACTTAAACTGAAACTGGTTCTGGTTCGGTGGATTGGACCCGGTGTTACACCATACTCTGTGACCTGCAACAGTGCAACACCGCCCCCTACGGTCATACGTGGTCACATAATATGACGTCACTACGGATACTCGACATTACATTTTTAACCTCGATAGAGGTCCTAGCAATCGATGTGTAGATTACTCGAGTACTCTGTTAATGCCCTAGTGCACACCCCTACTCAGCCTGGCTCAGCTCAGCCTGGCTCAGCTCAGCCTGGATTTGCACCTGCACTTTAGGACCGATTCTGGAGGCGTGTCCAGAATCCAAGTCCTGCTAATGAGAGTTCTACGATGAGTCTGCTCCTCAGATAAATAATATTAAATTATTATTTTTATATATGAATGTTTCTGTTCAGTGCCCTGACACGACTTCTGTTGTGACTTGGTGCTGTATAAATAAAGTGAACTGAATTAAATCTGATGAACCAGATTCTACAAAACATTTATATTTAAATCTAAAAAAGTTAAGTCTGGTCCTCTGGACGTTCAAAAACAAAACAAACAAAAAAAAAGTAGAATCGTTTCTCCTTTCATCCGAAAGACTTCTTCAGTCTGAGGAGCTGTATTCAGCTCAGTCTGATATAAATAGCTATGAGCTGAATACAGCTCCTCAGACTGAAGAAGTCTTTCGGATGAAAAGGAGAAACGGTTCTACTTTTTCTTAACTTTTTTAGATTTTCTACCTAGATTATTGAACATGCATCAGGATATCTATATTTAAAATTCTATATTTCTCGTCATCATTTGATTTATTTGCACTCATTGTGGTTTTGTTTCTTGTATACAGATTATTTTTTTCTTGTATACAGATTATTTTTAGCTTTGAATTAAAGTTTAGCTTTGATTTAAAGCTTTAATTTAAAGTGTAATTCTTGTTTTGTGATTTGTACATCAGTGGGTTAGAATAATGTTTGATCCAAAGATTTTGTCTCTTCTTTAAACATGTTTGAGGGAAATACGAGAGATTCAATAATTTTGTCTTTTTATAATTTTTCAGTTGAATTAACTTTAATTAACAGATTATTTAATAAAGTCAAAGGGAAAACAGGATTTCATGATAAAGCCGGCACCGTTTATTTATTTTTAATCTTCACTGATAAAAAAAACAAACTTATATTTTATACATAAAATGTAACCAAAAAAAAAAAACATTTCCACCCCCCCTTCCCTCCATCCCGGTCCTCCTGCCTGCCAGGGCTCGAATCCGGCCTTTGTGAACAGGCGAGTCCGGGTCTCGGGGTTCGGCCTCGCGGACTTCAAAGTCTCGGCAGCTCGTATGATCCTCCACGGTGACTCCGCTCGCTTGAATTTTATAGTCGTCACCAAACACAAAAAAACGCCTGGACTTCAGAATTAAACATGGCGTTGTCATTATTGTTTTTAAAATCTTTAAAATAGATCCAGCCGCTGCTCCACATCCAGAGAAATTGCAAATGGCGGCTCAGTGAAAAGTTTCTGAGATCCAGTGACTCCTCCCTCTGACCAGTCAGAGTCCTGCATTCACGCTTTGGTCCGGACTCAGCTCAGCTGAGCTCGCTTGGTCCCACCAGAGACGCAGGGACAAAAAGAGGTCCTGAATCAGCCTCAAATCAGCTAAAAATACGAGCTAAAGGGCTGGTGCAGAAGGGTTCTTTTTGTGGCGGGCTGCCCAGAGTTGGGGCTTATTAGGGGCGGTGCAAAAGGGGCATTTGGTAGCGACGCAAAATACAGGTACTCTAGCTAAAAAGCCCAAGGCAGCACTCACATTGCCTCTTCCCTCATGATGAACGCCCCCCCACCCACGCTCAAAAACTGTTAGTACAAGCTGCGCTCAGACATGTCTCCGTCCCCCCCCATCAGCAAAAATCATGGATGAGATGAGCACCCGGCCATGGCAAGCTAACTAGGGGAGACACTGCAGCTGATGTAACAGCCTGGACAAAGGAGGAGATCGAAGCCACCGACATCAAGACTAGAAAGCTCCTCACAATGCATGGACCGTTTCATCCAAGTCCAACACCCTGAGACTGTACACTAAAGCCACTTTAGATTTGTCACGGTGACTTGTCTCCCCACTCTGTGGGTGGAATGGTCAATACAAAGTGGGCAGTATTGTAACTGGTCACTGTGTTTGAGCCACTATACCCATTGTGGGCCTTAATTTCCTTATAGATGTCGGTTTCTTTAGCTTATCCCGGCACTGCTTATAATTCTGGGTATAGCCGCCATGCTGTGCCATCATCTTCAATATCTCTTGGTAAATGCGCTCATTTGTGGTGGTGCCGTCCAGCTCACGCTGCACCCGAACATTGGCTAATAAAGTTAGGAAGGTCTGTACCTCTTCATTGATCCGCAGCACTATTTTTGTAATGTCCATACCAGAAACAAGAAAAACAACACACACTAAACACAATCAAAGAGGAAGTGGAGGTTCAGATGTAGTTTTCAGTTTAGCTGGGCGGGTCATCCAGTGACGTAGCTCAGTTGGCCAATCAACAGCTGCTGTCTGCTTATGTCAAAATAATCACCTTGAAGTAGCTCGCTTGGAACCAGGTGGTCCCATAAACCAAGCTGGGTAGGGGTGGGCACAGACATCATATAAACACTAGACTCCGCATTATCTGCTGCGGCGCAGGAAATACGGCCGCCATCTTGGAGCGGTCGTCCTTATTTGGTTAAAGCAGAAGATGTTTCAGCACTTCGCAGCTTATTTCTGTTCTAATCGACGGACTGTTGACGTCAGGTCTCGAGGGATAAATTTTCACAGTAAGATGAACATAGTATTGTTAGTATTTTGTGAATATAATATTACTGTACTGTATTTATGTCCACCAGCTGATGTGATGTTCAGTGTAACACTGTGTTCAGCTGCAATGAAGCTGACTGAGATCTGATGACAAGAATATTTTTCTAACAAGCATACTCACAATTTCAGTAGCTTTGGTTCATTATCAACAGATATGCATCAGAACTGGAGTTTTGTTTAAGTTCTAAGAAATTAAAACATTAAAAACAGGGAGTATATAGGAAGTATAAGAAAATAAGATTGACCTCCTTTGTACAATGTTTTTGTGTAGACAGACACTCCATCATAGATGACAAGTTAATATTTCAAACTAAAATATAGTTTGTGTAGAGCTCAAGATACTGATGTTTGGAAACACTCGTATGAACCATGTGTTCAGCTTCAATGGATGTACGCCCAAGAGTTACAGGAGGGAAAGAGTGAAAATGAGTTTAGTGTTCAGCCATGACTGATTAAACACGCAGATACTTCATTGCACCTGCCAAACAGATTACACTGAGATTAATACATTACTATAGCAGTACTACAGTAGTCCTTCAGCAGTACTACAGAAGTACTACAGTAGACTTTCAGCAATACTATAGTCCTTCAGCAATACTAGAGTAGTCTTTCAGCAGTACTACAGTGGTCCTTCAGCAGTATTCAGCAGTACAACT